TGGGGGGGGGGGAGCGGGGCGGGGCAGGGGAGGGGACGTGTGTGGCAATTGGTGACGGCATGGGAGTTGTCTGACGGCATGGTGACTGAGTGAGTGAGGCTTGGGTTCTTTTCTGAGCTCTTTCATCGAAACAGGCTCTCTGTGCCTCAGTTTACTCATTGGTCAAATGAGAATAAGAACGCCCGTCTTTCTCCGGTCTCTTTCTGGGTTGAGTGGGGGCCTAAGAAAACCTACTCATGTGAGATATTTTTATGATCATCCGAGGAAAGGCTTGGGGCAGAATGCGTCCCCTCTCTTGGACTGGCGCCCCACTGAGTGGAGGTGTGAGGCAGAGCTTCCAATGGGGTGGGTCTCATATCCCCATTTTTGGGACCCTTCCCCCGCCCCGCCCCCATTGCTGGGGGCCAGCTGAGGCCCCAAGATAACAGGAGAGTAGGAGCCCCCCGATCATGATTCCTACGAAGGAACAACTGTGGTGAGGGCCTTCTGTGCACACCCCACTCTACCGGGATCCCAGCCCCATGGTTCCAGGGCATTTTCACCAAGACGGAGGTTGCAGCTCCACGTTGCGCCCCCTGGTGGCGGCATCCCCAAGGCACAGCCATCGGCCCCACTGTGCTCCCCAAAGCGCCCCAGGAGGGCCGCCACAGGGCCGGGACACTGTGATACGGCAGCCAGAGGTTTGCAGGTGGCAGTCGAGTTTGGCAGCTCCAAAATCCCAAGGAGGCTTAGGGCATCAAGTTGGGAAGCTGGTGCCTCCTGTGTTCCTACTGGACTTGACCTGGGACTAGTCATTCCCGTTCCCTAGACCTGAGTCCCCTCCCCGGTCCCTCCTGTAGACAGAGAGAAGCGAGTGTGCGGGCTCTCAAGCCCTTGCCAGTGCTGACACCATCCAGTTCAGAGTTCCCTTGCCCGTGGCCTGGTGCCACAGCTGCCACCTGCCTGAGCCCCCAGAGCCCCAGGCCCCACCCTTCGCCCCTGTAGCACTCCGGCCAGCTCTAACCATCCACCCCCAGTGCCCCTTTCTAGCCCGGGAGCTTCTCACGTTGTAACACGCACACGAATCGCTGGGAGATCTTGCTAAAATGCGGATTCCCACAGGTGCGCCTCGCTGGCTCAGGCAGAAGAGCGTGCGACTCTTGATCTCAGGGTCATGAGTTTGAGCCCCGTGTTGGGTGTAGAGATTACTTCGATAAACAAAACTTAAAAAAATACCGACTCCCGGTCAGCAGGCCTGAGGTGGAGCCTGGAGTCTGCGTTTCTCTCGGATCTAGATTAGGGCATCAGATTTTCTCTGCTCCAGATCTGGTCTCCCTTGGGCCTCGACACCTAGGCCCCTGCACGCCTGGCCCTCCTCTGCCCTCTTGTCCATCTTCCCCACCCACATGGATGGGCCCAGCCATACTGACCCCTGGATGGGCCCTGCCCCGGCCCATCCTGCCTCCCTGCACAGCCCCCTAATGGGTTACAGCTTCCTGGCAGTCAGGATCCCAGAAGGGACGGCCCGTTCCCAGCCAGCTCGCTACCTGCTGCATGCTGCCCCCAGGGAGGAGCTGACAGCATCAGGCCGAGGAAGACAGTGCAGGCCCGAGGGCCCTCTCACGGGGCGGGCTCCGGCTGAGCCCTGAGCTCAGAGGTGGGCAGGCAAGGTCTAATTGCCCAACCCTAGCCCAAAGCAGGGTCATGGTCATTAATGATGAAGATAAGCAGGCCCCTGGCTGGCAGAAGCTTGGGGTCAGGAGTTAGGCCCCCACTGCTGGCCCAAGGAAGGGACTGAGGGCAAGGGGTTAGAGGGCACGCCAGGCCACACCCCTGTCTGAGTCACCCCGGCTCTGGCATGCTTTTTGATGCTTGTTTCTACTGGGGCAGGGGCTCAGGCAACATCTCCCCTGGGGCCACGGCAGGGGTGGCCAGTCTGGTTGCCGTGGAAACAGCTCCTCGGGCTGCCCCGGCTGGTTAATTAGGGCTTAGGACTGTAGTTTTGGAAAGCCGGGAGTGGGCACGGAGTGAGGCCCAGCCTGGGCCTCCCACCCCCTATTTGGGAACCAAGAGCCAAGTGACCAGAGGGACCACAGTTGGGGCTGGGGCCACCTGGGCTCCGGTCACCAGGGACTCCACCCAAACTACAGAAGGAACAGGAGGGGCAAGAGGTCTTTGCTGGCCCTGCCTACTCACGTGAGGCCCCGGCTCTCGGCCCCAGGGCTGGCAGCGGCCAGGGCCGGACTGCAGAGTAGGACGGGAACCCACCGAACCCTCCCAGGAGCCCCGCGGGATACATGCTATGGTCCCATTCTGCAGATGCAGAATCTAAGGTTCACGGGCAGTGAGGCTGGTCCCGGCACAGGGAGGGAGTGCAGGGGCACACCGGACCTGGGGAGGGAAGCCACGTTCTCAGTGGGCCTGTGGGGGAACCTGGATCCGGCCAACGGGTAGGAGCTGGAGGGACCCTCTTCCACGGCGAGGAGGAGCAGGGGAGGCCGCTCAGCCCGCCTTCCAGCTCCAGACGGGACCAGGGTGCGGCCGATGAGGCCCCGGATGCTGGATCTGAGTGTCAGAGTGAGGGGAGCCAGAAGGACACCCGTGATGGCTGGGTGCTGACCTGGCTTTGAGTTTCAACTCCCTGTTGACTCAGGGGTGACTTGAGGCACGCTGATCACCTCTCTGCGCTCCAAACCGAGCTGGTAATGGTAGTGCCTGCCCCACTCAGAGGTCGTAGGGAGTAAATGAGTACAGGGCAGGGAGCACAGGGCGAGTTACTGTTCTTCGTGTGATTCCAATCTTCTCACCTGGGGCGGGTGAGTCCTCACGGGCTTGAAGGGGGGAGGGGAGGTTCTCGAAATTGCCCTGGGACGTGAGGCTGCCTTGGTGGAAAGAGTGGGCTTTGAGGTCAGAGAGGGTCCATACTGCTGTGCAATCTTGGCCGTGTGACTTAACCTCTCTGAGCCGGTCTCCTCAGCTAGAGAGTGGTGATAAGTGCCTCGCCCGACTGTTGGCAGGATTCAGTAAGAAGGTGATGTAAGAGTCTTCTGCCATGGTAGGTACACACTATATATATTCTTATTATCTGTATTATTTGGTATCTCAGAGCCTGGAGGAAGGACAGGGCACACGGAAGATTTCTGCAGGGGAAGCGGGGAGAGAAAATGGGCCAGCAGTTTTGGCCTAAAATGTGGTACCATGAGCTCCGACTCTGGCTCTCCTCCAGTCACCGGAAGAGCTTTCAGAGAGAGGGATGCCTGGGCCCCTTGGACCCCTGGGTCTGGAGTGAGACCCGGGGAGCTGGGAAACCTCCCCACGTATTCCCGGTGAGCAGCCACAGCCAAGAAGACTTGGCTGGGAGACCCTCCCCCAAATTACTTCCTAGGTTTTCAACATCAGCGTGGGAAGGGGACACCCACGCCACCCTCCACGTGTATGTCTGTTGCGGGCCCCACCCCCAGAGTGGGACCGAATGCAGGTGGAGCCCTTCCTTCCAGTGGCCCTCAGCCCCCGGGGGTGCGGTACAGACAGCTGAGGAGCTTTTAAAACAATTCTGCTGCCCGGGCCCTCGCCAGCCCCATCAAATCGGGCTCTCTGGGGACGGGGCCTGGGAACCTGTATTTTTAGCATCTCTACATGAATTTATGCCTTACACAGATTAGACGTGGCTCCTGACAACTCGCCTCTCTCATTGTGTAAATCACATCACTCTCAGAACCCCAGGGAGTCACCTTCCAAAGAAATAGCTTGGCCAACTCTTTTGAGACGGGAGCGGTCTCCCTGATCTGTTCTGTGGGCCCCGCAGAGCTGTGGAAGGGCGGAAGGCAGGAAGGGGACGCTCGGGGGACCCAGGGCTTCCAGGGGAAGCCAGGGGGTGGGGTGCGCACTGCTCTGGGGTTCCGGGGGACGGGGGCTGTCCCGGCTCTGCCCCCCCCTCCTGCGGGACCGGAGCGTCCTGGCCCAGATGTGAACGTGAGGTAGATCACCACCAGCCCCACGTTGTGCCCAGAGGGAGAGCCAGCTCTTGGCAGCGGGGCCGTGGCCTCAGGCACAGGGAGACTTCCTAACCCCGCCGGCCCCTCCCCCACCCCCAGCTGTCCCCAGGCTCCGAGGAGGACGAGGCGCACGAGGGCTGCAGCCGGGAGAACCTGGGCCGGATCCAGTTCAGTGTCGGCTACAACTTCCAGGAGTCCACACTCACTGTGAAGATCATGAAGGCCCAGGAGCTGCCAGCCAAGGACTTCAGCGGCACCAGCGACCCCTTTGTCAAGATCTACCTGCTGCCGGACAAGAAGCACAAGCTGGAGACCAAGGTGAAGCGGAAGAACCTGAACCCCCACTGGAATGAGACCTTCCTCTTTGAAGGTGAGGCTGGGGCCGCACCCCACCCCCACCCAGAGTCCCCTCTTCCCCTCCACCACGGCCCCGCTCAGCTGCACGGGTACAGACGGGGGCACCCACGCGCGCATCCACACCTGCGTGCACCCGCCCACGCAGGCACGTGTTTGAGCCCAGGGAACCTGCCTAATTTCGCGTCTAGCTGGGATCAGGTTACAGGGCCCGTGGGAGCCGCACCACGGCCAGAGGCCCGAACCGAACTAGACCACCTCCTGGGCTGTCAGCTCAGACACGGGCTCATCCTGAGTGAGGAGGGCAGGCAGGCAGGGAGGCGTCCACAGGACCCAGAGGCGGAGCACCGGGAGCAGTCATAGGTTAGCGGTTGAGAGCACGAGCTGTGCCCCCCCCCCCCCGGCTGTCTGTTCGAAACCCAGCTCCGCCACTTCCTAGCCGTGTGACCGGGGGCACGTTCCTGAACGTCTCTGTGTCGTGGTTTCTTCGTCTCTAAGGCAGAGATAATCCCAGTGAGGGTTGGAGACAAATCAGTGAATTGCGAAGGCAGGCACGATATCCAGAGAACCCATGAGCGCAGTTTGTTAAATACACTCTGTCCGCTCCCCTTCTCCGAGCCCTTCCCCTGTACTTCCTCCCGCCCCCACCGCATCCAGATACAGGGGAACAACAGCTCTGAGCCATGCCCCTGGCTCCTAGAGAGCACGGAGACAAATGTCTCTCCTGCAGACTCTCTCTGAAGGCCGTCTTTATCTCTTATCTCTGAGGATGCGAGGTAACCAGGAAGCTGGGTGCGAGATCAGGAAGTGATTTCCGTCCCAGCCCTTTTTTGGTGCCTGGACTCCACTTTGAGAAGCCATTGCCCTTTCCTGACATGGCTCAACCAGTGAGAATAGGTCCCTACAACTCCAACTGCCAGGTGCCTTGGCGCTCTGGAATTTTCAGCGTGTGCCCCGAGGAATCTTCCCTGCCTGGTGTCCCAGCCATTGGACGCCCCACCCGTTCCGCAAGGTGGCAGCCAGCTCGCCTCAGATAAATCGTTGAGGGTGAGCTAGTGGGTGCTTGTGTGTTTCCGGACCCTTCTCCTCCCCAGTACGGTGTGGGGGCCGGGGAGAGGCTCCGCTCTGCAGGCGCGTGTAGCCAGCTGACGGGGCGAGGTTTATGAGCATATCTTCGACCCACTGGTCTCTTCTGCAACATTTATCTAGACTCAGCGATGGGCTGGGCGCTGTTCTCGGCGCTGGGGGGTGCAGAAAAGGGCAAGGCACCATTGGCCCTCAAGGCGTTCCTGATCTAATGGAAGACACAGACTTGTAGATAATGAAGGCATACGCTGCAGGGCAGATGCTGTAGGAACCCACTGCGAGCTCCCCTTGGTAGTGTTGGAAGACATTTCCCAGAGTGGGGGCCATTCAGGATGGGTTTTGATGGATGAATAGGAGTTTGCCCAATAAGAGTCTTCCTCCTCTGCTGTTGAAGAGGCTGACTCTGGTGCGGCGACCTCCTGGAGCCGCCACCGTTTCTAGAACACTTGTCCTCATGCATTTCACCTGGATAGATGCCAAAGTTCCCCTGGGCAGGTCCCTGGCGGGGGGGAGTGCAGAGGGGGGCTCCCAGATGAGCAAGACAGAGCCCCCTTCGGTCTGAGGAGGAAGCCCTGAAGAAATTCAGAGGCTGGGGATTTGGGGAACATAGGATTTCCCCTTCCAGCACACCGCTCCTCTCAGAGGCATTTCTGCTTCTAGCGTCTGGCCGAACACGCCAGAATCCTCCAGAGCTCTTTCTTTCCCTTCATCTTCTCCACCAGTCGGGCTGAGGTGTTAAGTGTCCTCTCTCCTTCCTGCTCACACCCTAGTTCAGGCCCTCACCACCTCAGGCCTCCAGGCTGACCTAGACCCCCTGCGCCTCCCAGGCCGGCCCCTCCTCTGACCAAGCCTCCCCGGTCCAATGACTCTGGCTTCAGCCCTTCCCCAAAGCCTCTTACCATCCCTTTCCATCCCACTCAGGCTCCCTCCCCTGGCTCTCCCTCTGGTCTTATCTCCCGCTGCACCCCGGCACACTCCAGCAGCTCGGTCAGGCCACTTCGCTGGCATTAATTCATTCTTCCAATTATTGATCCACTTAAACAAATACTTATCGAGTGCCTACTATGTGCCAGAAACAGCGTTAGATGCTGGGATCCAGTGGTTGAGGGCAGCGATGCCTTCCTGGAAATCCTCGCCTAGTGGGAGTCAGACTCAAGGAAACAGATATATCTCTGTGACAGCCCCGGGGTGTGTGACGTGAAAAGAAATTGCTAGAACGTAGAGCAGGGGATCCGACCCCGTCTGGGATGTCAGGAAGGAAAGCGGTGACCTGTTCAGGAAGAGGAAAGGCCAGGGTGGGTCATGGAGGCGCCACCAGGCAGGAGAAGCCGGTGCTGAAAAGCTGAGAAGGAGGCTGGTGCGGTGAGAGCCCATCGCTGGCCAAGAGTACTCACAAGAGGGGCAGAGAGAGGTCAGCGGGCCAGGCTGTACAGAAGGACTTGAAGCCAAGGCAGGGCACGCAGCTTTTACTCTAAGTGCCCTGGGAGCCACTGAAAGGCTTTAAGCGAGAGAGTGTCATGATGTGATTTCTATTTTTAAGGGATCGCTCTGCTGTGTTGACAATGGACAGTAGGAGAAGGCGTGCAAGTGGGGAGGGCGGTTTGGAAACTCTCGCGGCTCTCTAGGCAAAATGTGCCAGCGGCTGGGATGAGGGAGGAGAAGGGGACAGCCGCAGGATCTGTTGAGGAACAGTGAAGGACAGGCCGATGCCCTGGAAGGAAGCAGGGGGCAAGCGCGAGTCCTAGGACAAGCATCCACTCCTGTCTCTGTGTCTTTGCCGCTTCCTCCACCTCGAGTCCTCCTGGGGCTTGGCTTCTGGTGGCCGTGGCCACCTCCGACAGGGCCACCTGCCCAGGCTTGTCTCGGGATGATCGGCAGTGGCAGGGCTTCCCAGAGAGAAAGGGGCCGCTGCCCGGCCACCAAGACAGCCATGTGACAAACGAGTGGGTCAGTGGTCCCCGTTCTGCTCTCTATCAGCTGGGAGACTTGGGACAAGTAATTTAAGCCATCCGCGGCTCAGTCTCCTCTTCTGTGAAACGTACGAGATGCCATCCACCTTGGAGAACTGTCAAGAGAGACAGATGTGACGGGGACAGTTCTTGCTAATGCTGCGGGAAGGTCTCTGAATTCGGCTGCTGCCTGCTGTGCCTCAGTGGGGCGGCAGCGGGACCGCACGGGGCCGGCCCTCTTCCTCCCGGGGCCTCCCTGCCCTGGAGCATCACCCTGCCCAGGCCCTGTGTGGCCCCTCTGTCTCACTCTTCACCCAGGCTGTCTGTCCCCCAGGTTTTCCCTACGAGAAGGTGGTGCAGAGGGTCCTCTACCTCCAGGTCCTGGACTACGACCGCTTTAGCCGCAATGACCCCATTGGAGAGGTGTCCATCCCTCTCAACAAGGTGGACCTGACCCAGATGCAGACCTTCTGGAAGGATCTGAAGCCATGCAGCGATGGGAGTGTAAGGCCCCACTTGTGGGTCCCTGGCTTGGGGGCTGGCAGGTCAGGGCTGGCAGATCTGGTCCTGGTCCCCTGGCATGTCAGGTGGGCGGTGGGGGAGGTGCAGCCAGTGCGCAGGGCAGCGGTCTCAGAGCTGGTGCACCGCACTGGGGAGAATTGCCTGAGCTGTGACAAAGAACCTGGACTCTGCTCAGGGAGTGGGGGCTCATGGGGGTGGGGGGGGCGGCGCCCAGAACTGCTAGATGAAGGGACACCAGGTGTGACAGAGGTGACAGATGGGGGTGGGTAAGCACCCCAGCCAGCCAGAGTTCTCTAACTGTCCCCTCTCCCCTAGTCCCCAAGCCCTCCTGTTCTCCCTCGCAGAGGAGCTGAGGCAAGGCTGGGGGACAACCCTCTCCAAAGCCCAGGCTCACCCCCCCCACCTTATCCCTCCCAGGGGAGCCGAGGGGAGCTGCTCTTGTCTCTCTGCTACAACCCCTCTGCCAACTCCATCATCGTGAACATCATCAAAGCCCGGAACCTCAAAGCCATGGACATCGGGGGCACATCAGGTGCTGGGGCCTCTCATCATAGAGGGTGGATGGACTGGGGAGTTGTGGGGACGTGAGGGTCATGCTGGATGTGGAAAGCAGGGTCTGAGCCGTGGCACTCACCCCTGACCGTCCTACCCCACCTCTGGTCTCAACTCCTCTACCCTAGAGCCCTAGGTGGCCCCCTCTGGAGCACCCCTGGGGTCAGCATCATCTTGGACTCTCCCCTTACCAGAATCAGAGAGAAGAGGAGCACTGTGGTGGGAGACCTGGGCTCCAGCCTCAGCTCGGACACTACTGTGGGGCTCGGCCTCTGTGGGGTTGGGTTTCCTCCTTTGTGTTCACAATAGGGCCCTGGGTGATGGCTGGGGTCCCTTCCAGTTCACCCATCCGCTGGTCCCCAGATCCCTCTCCTTGTTGCTTAGGGCTTTCCTCACCTCCTGTGGAAAGCTTACAGCCCCTCCTGCCCCAGTTTCCACACTTGGAGAAGGAGGGGGACCCTGGGGGGCCCCCCCACACTGCCCATCTGACCTTTCTCCTACCCATCTGCCAGACCCCTACGTGAAGGTGTGGCTGATGTACAAGGACAAGCGGGTAGAGAAGAAGAAGACAGTGACGATGAAGAGGAACCTGAACCCCATCTTCAATGAGTCTTTTGCCTTTGATATCCCCACTGAGAAACTGAGGGAGACAACCATCATCATCACTGTCATGGACAAGGACAAGCTTAGCCGCAATGACGTTATTGGCAAGGTAGGGGCCTCGTGGGAGGGGTAACACACCTGTCCTCACAAGAAGGAGCAGGGGTAGTAGGTGAGCTCAGGGCTGAGCAGCAGGAGAGAGAAGGGCCAGTCTCTTCCCCTCTCTGGGCCTCCATTTCATCTGAAAATGAGAGGCTAGGACAAAATCTCCCTTAAGTGTCCTACTGTGGGTTCATCAGCTCAGGACAGACCACTGGGAGGGCAGGGAAAGGAGGAAGTGGGAGAAAGAAGCACCCTGGATCCCCAAAAGAGGATTTGCTGGACAGGAGCCTCGGGCAAGGTAAGGACCTTCGAGCAATGTCACCCAGGTCCCATCTTCAGAGGGCAAGCTATGCAGGCCAATGTCAAGAGCTGCAGCGAGACTCCAAATACCTGGCTTCAGTTGCCACCTCATCTGCTACTAAAAGCTGTGTGACCTTGGGCGAGTCACTTGTCTCTCTTTACCTGCGGTGTCCTCATTTTTAAAAAAAAGTTTATTGATTTATTTGGAGAGAGACAGAGACAGTGCAAGTGGGGGAGGAGCAGACAGAGAGCGAGAGAGAGAGGGGGGGAGAGGACTCCGGGCTGCCAGAGCAGTGCCCGATGTGGGGCTCGAACTCAAAAAAAACATGAGATCATGACCTGAGCTAAAACCAAGAGTCAGACGCTCAACAGGACTGAGCCACCCAGGCGCCCGAAGTGTCCTCATTTGTAAAATGGAGCTAATAGTACCAACCCTATAGCACTTCACCCAATGGTGTGAGAATTGCCTGAGATATGTGGGTATCCTCCTTGTAGAAAGTGACCTCTTCTCATCATCTACTAACCAAAAAATCCATGCCAGGCCTTCAGTTTTTCCAGGATGTGATTCTGTGACACAAACCCTTCTGTTTCTCTACTTTGAAATGTCTGTCCCTGTGTTCATTTATGGTTTTAGTGTTGAGAGGTTGGGCTTGGGAATCAGACCTCCTGGGCCCAGCCCCCCTCTCGACAGCCATGCGCCCCATCTCCTCCTCTCACGATGAGAGTAAGACAGTCCTAACCTCACAGGCGAAACCCCTAGTACAGTGCTTAGAAGGTATGTGTTAGCTGCCATTATAATAAAAGTTATTTTTGAAACATTCCTACTAAGGGCATGTTTGTGCATCTGGGCGCGGAGCTTTGACCAGGAGCAGTGCAGGAAGCCAGTGATCAGGGCAGGCCAGGTGAAGGACAGATGCCAGAAGCCCGTGAGGAGAGACTATGGATCACGTGGTCTTACCCCTGGCGCGACCCAGGGGTAAATGGGGGTAAATGGGAAAGGATGGCCTGGGCCCCCGCAGGGAAGGGGGCCAAGGTGGAGGCAAGCCTCAGACAGATGGGGTTGAAGAACTTAGCTCCTGGGGCTAAGGGAAGCAGGGGGCCTCCAAGAGGATACCTGAGTCCTGCCCCCCACCTAGTATGGCGCAGGGAGCGTGACTGGCCGGCCTGTGGTCACAGGTGGGACAGTTTCTCAGGGTGGCGTCACCCATACCCCAGCAGGACCGTGTGTTCCGAGCAGGCCTGAGGCCTGCTAAGCCCCCTCCTTGACCAGCTGGGGCCAAGGGCCACATGGCCACATCTACTTCTAAGCTTTTCTGAAGCTTAGCCTTTTCGAGTTGGGTGTCCTTTAGATACCAATCATAGCTGCTTTTGAGACCATCCTATCTTCTGTCGACCGAACCAAGGTGAAGGAGGATTGGGTAGCTCAGGGAGCCCTATGCTTCTAACCGGCCACCAGTCACAAGGCCGGGGTCAGCTGGAGGACCACGTGCACGGCCCCACGAGGCCGCCCCTAACGCAGAAGGCTGCAGGATTGGGCTGATAGTGCGGAGCCAGAAGGACCTAGATTTAAATTCCTCCGCACCACTTACAAATCCCGTGACTGTGGGTGAGTTTCTTAACTCTCCACGCCTTTGTTTCTCCATCTGTAAAATGGGGATCCTATACCTGCCGCACCGGTAAGGATAGGATGATCTGTGTGTAGAAAGCCCCGAACCCGGGGCTCAGTGTGCAGTAAGTGGTGAGGAGGTAGGAGGACTCGTAAGGCAGGAGAGATTGACAGCAGCCAACAGGTAGGGCAGGGAAGGGCGTGGGAACAGACCGTCTCCACCCCCACCTTCGACCCCCATCCCCCCAATGCAAAGCAGGTCAGGAGTCTTAACTGGGAAGGGCCAGGCATGCCCAGGCTCCCGGAGGGAAGTGCCACTAGGAAAGTAGGTCATTGCTGGCGGGGAGGAGGCCGGAGGAAGCCTCTGAGGGGAGGTTGTCTCTGTGGGCGGAGGTCCCTTGGTCCCCAAGATCATGATCTCGGGGTGTCATTGAGGAGATGGAGTGTCAGCCCCGGTGGGGGCAGGGGCCGATGCCTCCTCCGAGAGTGTCACTGAGACCGTGCTCTTCCGTTTCTCCCCAGATCTACCTGTCCTGGAAGAGCGGGCCCGGGGAGGTGAAGCACTGGAAAGACATGATTGCCCGTCCCCGGCAGCCGGTGGCCCAGTGGCACCAGCTGAAGGCCTAAGTGGGGCCAAGGGAGGCCCGGGGGGCCGAGGGCCCGGGTCCCCATCATGCCCTCACCACTTTATGCACAATGCCCGGCCTGGCCCCCCCGCCATAGGTGAGGGGAGGACCCCGAGGGCTTGGCCATGGAGGGGTCCCAGGAGTCAGTTGGGCCCCGTTTCTAGGAAGTACCAGCCTCATCCTCCACTTGTCCAGCTCTGGGGGAGGGGCTCTGGGAGCCATTTTCCTGCTTTGCCCCTTTCCTTCCTGACTTGCTGATACTAAAGAAGTGAGGGAGAGTGCGAAGGCCAGACAGGCGGACGGGCAGATCCCTCCAGAGGCCCGCCAGGTGGGCACGGTCCCCCGTTTTCTTTAAGGCAGTGCCTGGAGTGGAGAGAAGCTGCCTCCTCCCCAGCTCCCGATGCGGGCCCAGGAGAGGGGAGGCCGGGGCGTTTGGCCCCGGCCTGGCCGGGAAAGGCCCGTTCCCCGGGCAGTTTCAGGTGCCGACTGGGCCCTGAATGCCAAGGATAGTATATAGCCCGCTCCGGGGTCCTGGAGCCGCAGCCTGTGTCCTTGCGTCGTGTCCACTGTGTGCGTGCGTGTGTGTGTGTGTGTGTGTGTGTACAGGGGTGGGGGCACTCTTACCCTGTCCCCGCCCCCGGGGCCGGCAGTGCAGAGAGGGCAGGGTTTCATAAAGTGAGGCAGGGCAGGAGGCTGAGAGAGGTCTACGCACAGAGCCAGGGGGTGGGCTAGGAGAGGCAGGTGAAGGGGGGACTGGGGAAAGGTGGGGGGGGGGG